GAGGAAGGAAGGAAGATGGAGTCTGAGCGGGCGGAGGCAGTGGCTTGAACCCGACCCTTTTACCTTTGCCACCGGGAGGGCGGAGGGGAGGGGGCGGCGGGTATTTTGCATACGGGGCAGCCCGTCGCCATCTTAGCGGACGTTCCCCCCACCCCCCCTTGTCGCTTGGAGCTGCGGTCCGCAGGTTTGGGGCGCCCGCGGCCGAGTGTGAGGAAGGAAGGCATCGGGGTGAAGAGGACGTCGCGGGAGGGCGGGGAGACAAATGGCGGAGCTTCTGAAGTTGGCCGCCTGCCAACTCCGCCATTTTGTGGTTCGCTTCGCAAATGGGAAGCCCTTTCGCCTCCCAGCTTGCCCCCTCCGCATTGGGAGATGGGGCCGAAGTTTGAGCGACGGTCGCATTCGCCAATAAGCACCGAGGCGGTTGATTTTCGTCCTCTCCTGATGAAAACGAATTAGTGGAAGGGAAAAAGTGGGAAAGGGAGGAGCTTGTGTTTGGGAAGTGATGTTTGTATCGTGAATTCTTCGTTTCCCTAATCGTTGTGGGTTTAGTTGGGATGCGTCCTTTGGCGTAGATACTAATATTTCCCATATATCTTTTGTCGGAGAAAATTCATTGAGGCGTGGAAGTGCTTCCTGGGGTTTAAGATTGTAAAATTGAACACTTTGAATGTAGACAGAGCTCGTGCTGTGACGTTAGTCAATGAGACGGATAACTTTTTTTTTAATTATATGCTTTGGGATCTTATTAAATTTATCATGGTGCATCTTTACATTTTAAAAAATTGCAAATATGTTTCACCAGAAAATTGATATGGTGAACAAGATAGAAAACATATTGCACTCAGTTGAAAACCAATGTAACATAGGAGTTAGGATGTTGGGCTACAACGAGAGACCCAGGTTCAAGTTCACCCTCAGCCATGAAGGTTCACTGGGTGCTTTGCACCAGCGAGTCTCTTTCACGTTAACCTTTCTCATAAGATTGTTGTAAGGGGAAAAACTAAAAAGAGAGGGTGCTGTGTATTCTGCCGTAGGCTCCCAGAGCAAAGACAGAATATCAATGTAATATACAGTAAGTAGCACTTTTTACAGTTATATATCTCAAAAACTAAGCCTAGTTGGATGAGGAAAATCACCAGAAATTCCTGGGGCTCTGGGCTATACTAGGAGGTTGAACAAACAACCCTGAGAAGGCAGTGGCAAGCCACAGGGTTGCCAAAGAAAAAAGTGGGTGTGTCCTTGAAGTCACCAGAAGTTGAGCTCAACTAGGAGAACTTGTTTTATTGCAACATTCGGCACAATGTTTTCACCAAAATAGTATCTACATGAAAGTATATGCTAATTTGTATTTGTTTCTCATTCCATTAATTAATGTGTTATTGGTATTTTTGTGCTAGTGTACCAATAATTTATATTTTAAGCGTGTATGAATAAAATATCACATACCCCAGGGCTGATTTTGAATCATTTCTTCATTTTCTTCCTATTATTGAACCTAACTTCTCTGTGTGGGTGAAAAATGGTTTATTTTTCATATATGAAAATAATAGCAAGACTTATTTTTTCCTAGAATAAGTGGACTTGAATAAGCAGTGGACAACTTGAAAAATAAAATGCAGGTTATTAGCATATTATTACAGTCTACTTTGCTGAGGGTTCCAGTGAAAATATTACCTGCACATCCAAATGTATACAAATGGAAGCAGTCACACGAATTTTCCAGTGCTTTGCGCACACTAACACACTTTGCAGTACATCTCTTTCATATGCTTGGTAAGCTTTAAGGATTATAATCAGTTTCCTCCAGGAACAATTAATTTCTCTTTTCAGTTTCTTTGCGTAACTTGCTGGACCAAACAGTTTATACTGTCTGTGTTTACACACATATTGGGCCATTGTTTAGCCATGCTTTATTCCATTAATCCAAATTTCCTTCCTTCCTTTGTGGCCAGTTCCATTCAGTGTTGATGGTGGGGGGAGAGAGATTGCTACATAGGTCCCTCCTTTGTGGAGTGCCACAGGATTCAACACCCTCCTGTTTAACATCTATATAAAACTGCTGGGTGAGGTTACCCACCAGTTCAGAGTTTGGTATTATCCATATGGTGATGATACCCAATTATATCTTTCAACACTGAGCCAGCCAAGTTATGCTGTTGAGGTCCTGGATGGGGAGAAACTGATTTCAACTTAATCCTACCAAGACCAAGTGGCTGTGGATATTAGGAATCCCAGATTCAGGGATTTTCCATGTTTAATCTTAGATGGGGTTGGACTTCCCCATTCAAGAATGATGTGCAATCAGAGGTGTTCTTTGACTCACAGCTCCTGCTCAAAGAGGCCCTTCAGATAGTCACTCATGTCCTAATCACCGCTCAGCTCAACTATTGCAGTGCACTTGTGCTTTACATGGGACCTTCCTTGAAGACTACCCAGAAGCTTTAATTAGTCCAGAATGCAGTGGTATGAGCAGTGATGGGCATGCCTTAGTTTGACTATGAGACACCCCTGCTTCCCAAGCTGCATTAGTTGCCAGAATGCTCACAAGTGCAATTCAAGGTGCTCGTTATCAGTTATAAAGCCCTACATGGCATGGCACACTCGCTTCAATTAAACAATGCCGTCTATCAGGGCCCAAGGAGCATGCCTTTTCTGTTGTGGCACCTGGTCTCTGGAACAGGATCTCTGTGGCTTCTGCCCTGATGGCCTTCCAGAACGCCATGAAGATCTGGCTGTTTTCCCAGGCCTTGGGTTAGGGTGGATAGGCCTCCTTTGTTGTTTAAGACTTTGTATATGTCATGTATTTAGTGGATGGATGCAATTTTGTTTATTTGTGTTGTGTTTTTATTTTGATCTCTGTTTGATATTGTGAGCTGCCCAGAGTTTGGAATCAGGCAGCATCTAACTCAAACAAATAAAGTATGGGCACAATCAGAAAAGTATCTCTGATATCTAGCAGGGATGTGGTTCCTTATTTAGACAAAAAAATAGTTATATTTCATTAAAGGCTGCAAGGCATTCCTGAAAGATGTTGAGATGACATCATTTTGACCATTATTCACAAGATAATGCTGTTCGAACTGATGATAGTGAATACTGACTATCCAAAGCCACAATAATTTTTAATAGACAATTGAAGAATATTGTTAAGATAAATAATTTTTAAAAGAATTTGGAATGGACTTGGGTTCCCTATATTAACAAATCAGTAGTTAAGGGCCTTAAAGAATAATAAATATATTTCTTTGATTTTTAAGGTACAATTATTTCCACAAAATATTTTAATGCTTACTGGGTATCTCAGAGAATCTTTCAAAAAGGTTGGCTATCCACTTTTTAAAGCTAAAGTTCTGTATAGAATGATGGCAAAAGTCACTTTGTGTGAGATGGGCAGCCATATAAATTAAATAAATAAGAACATACAAATATAATATGGGCTTGTCCCACTATTGTATCATTTTGCTTTAATATCCATAAAGCAGTTACCATGATTTGGAAAGAGAAATACAATAAAGGTATGAATAGATTTTTGAGTTAATACTAAAAATTTGGGATTTGTCAAAATATAGGTTTACTGAGCATGAGGTATAGCCAAAACAAAACAACAACAACAACAAAAACCCTACTCTTTTGCAGTAGAAAGATAGTACCATCCTGGATATAGAGTTTTGGATTGAATATATGTGTTTGCTCTCTGTTTATTAACTAGCTTTTTATTGATGTAATGGAAGGACTGATTAATATGATACACGATCAAGGTTTAATGTTGTATTTTTTAATATTAAATGTGGGATTGCTGCGAGTGAACTGCATAGTTTTTGATGGACAGAGTTCTCCAGCTCTACCTAGATTCTGATATTGAGGTCAGCTATGATTTAACTGAGGCATAGGTTTCTTTTTAGTGTGAGCAGAGTAATTTTAGAGGTAAGGGCTATCACTTTTTTATTGATTAGTTCTGTCAGTTGGTAAAGGAAAAAATCTTTAAAGACACTAATCATAGTGTCTCTCTGAAGAACGGTTTGTTTCTTTCTCCTTTACCACCACTCTACCTGTTTTGTATTATAAAACTTATAAAGTGAAATTGTTGGTAGTTAAGTGTTTAGTTGAAGTTTAATGAATATTCTAGTTAACATAAGTTTACACATATCATTACTATTTCAAAGGGTCGGGGAAATAATAAATTCACATACCCTTTCAGATTAATAACTTTACACGATGATTGGTCTGATCAGAGACTAGTTGATGCAATTTTCTGTTGCTGCCTTGCAAAAGAAAGAAGGGTCTAATTATAGCATTTCAAAATTGCATAGAGCTTTTTAGCCTGGCTAAAAAGGCAAAAGAAATTTGCAAAAGCAGATATTGGCTGTGTTTTGCACAAGGGTAACTAACATCATTTTACTTACCTGGTAAACTGAAACCAAACCACAAACTGGATTATGATTAAGCAAGTCCTCCTTAACTATAATCTGCAACTATAATCCATTGCAAATTATAATTAATCACTGTCTGATACATCATTGAAACCCATTCTAATTGCTAGTTTATGGCTAAACAGTTATTAGTCTGTTGAGAAAATGATGCTGACTGCAGGAGCAGCCAAAATTATATAGTTACTCCTGGAGCAGCAACTCCTAAAGACTTATATGTTGGAGTAGGCTAGCAGCATATGTCTCACAGTGGCTAGTTAGGAAGCACATAAACATTGATAAGAAAGGTAATAACTTTTTTTTCTGTTGTTGCTCTCTAGAAGTATGCTTTCTTTACTGCCTTTGAAAAATAGTAATTAATCCTACATAAATCCAGTCTTGTTTTAGTGTCTAAATTGGTAGCTGCCACTACATCTGACAGTAATGAATTCCTCAGTTTAAAAGTAAGGAATATTTACTTTTACTGGTCCTAACTTTCTCTTCACATAGTTTTACTAGGTGACTCCATGTCCTAACACAGTGAAAATGGAAGGCATGCTTCTCTCTGTTCAGTTTCTGGTGCTTCATCTCACAGGCACTAAGGATATTTTAGGGAAATAAAGAGGCTAAAGGAAGCATTAGCTTTCCCCCACTCAGTACATTGATCCTTTTTGTTGTGGTTTGCAAAGCAACAACACCAACATATATTTTAAAGGAATGCCAGCAGGATAAAAGTTTCTAGAATATTGTACATTGGCATCAGGAAAGGTGAGTGGCCACTGTAGGGATAATTGTTCATCTTTGGGATGAACAGCAGGTTGAACCTCAATCACTATTAATGCTACACAAACCTTAGTGTACTGTGCAACTATAGTAAATGAGTCCTATTGCTTGTTTTTTCCTGAACTGTTTATTTTTATCATTACATTCATTTTCCATATAAATAGTGCTACCAAGAAGAGATTTCTGATGGCAACGTAGTGACTACATATGTAGAGCCCCATTTCCTGTTAATTGAATAAATTACATTTTACTTTTTCAGAAATAATTTCACAAGTTTAGCATATTATAAACCATGTTCCAATAGAATGTTTAAAACAATCATTTTAAAATATATACAGCCATAAAACATTACATAATATTTAAAACATCTTTCTGTTCAGTGTAGAATTGTGCATAAATTTAATTATTCTCAGTAATAAAAATGATAAAATATCTAATTTTACTGTGCCTGATAGAAGTTACTGGCATCCCTCCAAACAGGTTCTCTAATGATCTTCTTTCACCATGGCAACCAATATGGAGGTGCTGGCTCAGCAAATAGTGGAGACACAGCAGGTGGCTGAGGTGAGTGATGGATGATATTATAGTTATTCTCAGTTGGTTTTTAAAAAGAAAATACTGTTTCCAACTAATTAGTTCTAAAGTAGCAATTATTTATATTGCAATTATTATTACTTCAGAAAATATAAAATCATTCTTTTTGTACTAATGGACATTATTTATATGAGCAAAATGTCCATTAAGAGAGTTGGAAAAGTGTCCCAATCTTCTTACTGCAGCTTGTCACAAAGGCTGCTGGGTGAAAAACGCTGAGGCCGCATTTGAGTTTTCAGCCATATTCCATGCCTTTCATTTTCCTTGCAGCATTCTTAGTTAAAAACTTACATGAAATCTGTTAGACATGAGCAAAAGGTCTTCAAAACCTTTCTAAATAAAAATCTTATTTGCTTTTTTGTCCTGAAGGTAGAATAATACAAGTTGTTCTCTGCTGTCAGTTGCAAATTATAAGATTAGAGTCGTCTTATTCCCAGATCATAAAAACTGTTAAGGTTATCAATCAAGTTAATAAAGATGTCTACTTCATATAGTCTGTTGCCTCATACTTCTGGCAGAAAATCATAGTGAATGGTTGCCTATATTTTCTCCTTGCAGCTATGGTGGAAAACTGAACAGAATTAACAACTTTGTTGTCATTGTTACATATAATTGTATCTCTTAATTTTGTTTGATTCAGAATTCAAAACCAGTTTGGTCTAGTGGTTAAAGCACCAGGCTAGAAAACAGGAGATTATGAGGTCAAGTCCTGCCTGAGGCATGAGAGGGTTGTTGTGGAGAAAATAGGAGGAAGGAGTATTAGGTATGTTCGCTGCCTTGAATTATTTATAAAAATAATATAAGTAGGATTAAAAAAAATTAAATAATTCTTACCTGGCTTTTAAAAAAAAACTAGATAAGACTAGATTAAGGCAATGATTGTGGGTAAGTCTTCTGATATGTGCGGATTTGGATACCTAGTGTTGGATTCATAGTGTTTATATAAATCTCTTTTAATCTTTTAATCTCTTTTTTATCTCTGTAAGTGTGGTTCTTTTATAACTTTTGATCATGTATTTATGATTTTAATTTGATATAAGCCGCCCAGAGTCCCCCATTGTGGGGAGATGGGCGGGGACAAGTCCACTAAATAAATAAATAAAATAAATAAATAAATAAATTTATAGGGAGATTATAGAGCAGATCATAAAAGAAACATATAAGCATTTTGGTATGGTAATTAATCATATAGATTTTGTCAAGAACAAAGCTTGCCAATTTAAGTTGAGCTTTTTAAATTAGGTAATTTTATAAGTAGATTGTGGAATGCTAAATATGTCCTCATTTCAACAAAGCATTGACAAAGTGCCCCATGAGCTTCCAAATGGGTATCCAGTTATATAAGGGCTAGATAGGAAGACAATTAAATGAATACATAGCTGACTTGAAAACTCTACTCACAGTGCTTATTAGTGATTTCCCAACAAGCGGGAATAAGATAATGGATGGGGTACTACAGTGTTCAGTTCTGGGTCCTATTTTGTTGTTATTGTTAATGAGTTGGGTGAAGAAGTAGAGGGAATGCTCTTTAACACTGCAGATGACACAAAACTGAATAGATAATAATACTAAAAAGATTTTAAAAATTCAAAATGATCTTGATAGGTCAGAGAAATGGGCTGAAAAAGAGCCAGAATTAAATTTAACAGAGACAAATGCAAAATTCTTCATTTAAGCAAAAGAAATCAACTGCATGGTTATAGGACAAGAGAAACTTGACTTATAAAAAGGATCTTGGGATAGTAGTTGGTTGCAAACTGGATATGAGCAGAGTGATGTAACTGCAAAAATTCCAGATACAATTTTAGTTTGCATCAATAGAAATATAGTTTTCAAATTATGAGAAGTAATAATTTCTTATATTATGCATTGGTCAGACCTCAAGTATTGTTATCCTGTTCTGGGTCCCATATTGGAAGAAGAATTCAGACACTGGAATAGGTACAGCTGTAGAAAGGCAGCCAGGATGATAGGGTACTAGAAGAGAGATGGTAGGAATTGAAAACGTTGAAAAGAGAAGACTGACGGGGTTGAGGCACAGTTTAAATACATGAAAGGATGCCTTAGAGTGTTGAAGATTTCATCATCTTAAGAGGTCACTAAGATAGAAATCAGGCTTTTTGGTCTTCATATACTTCTTACTAAATCTAGCTTTACTTCAACAAATTATGAATGTTTGCTAGCATTTATTGATAGCTGGGCTAAGCCCATACTTTACATCCAAGACACACTCACTCCCCTTTGTTTTATTTATACATATGTGTTACTACATTGTTACTTTATTCTTTCAGCATTTTGCTTATGTAGAGAAACACGCCTTCTAAAAGGGGTTCCTCTTGAATTCTAATCTTCAACATACAGGGGAAGGTCAGGATTTATTCTCCTTTGTCCCAAACTGCAGGATTCCTATGGATTCAAGTTCTAGGAAAGCAGATTCTGATTGTTAGGGAAAAAAACTTCTTAACATTAAGAGCAGTTTAGCATTGGAACCAGAAACCAAATGATGAATTTCTATTCCCTGGATATGTTCAGATAGAAACTAAGCAGCCATCTGTCAGGGCTACTTTAAAATGCGTTCCTGCAGAGAGTCAAGTATTGGACCTGATGGCCAAAATCATTCCTCGTAACTTTATAATTGTATGAAATATCTGTTTCATGCATGTTGCTATTAAAAATATCCATAAGTGTAATAAGAAACTTAACATTGCAAAAACAAAACAAAATCCAACCTCAAAACAGTCCAAACTTCTAGCAAAACTTACAGGCTCTGAAACCTTGATTTAGCAGACTGCAGTGGAAACATTCTAACTGGACTTTATGTGCAAATAACAGAAAAGCTTGTTTGGCAAATCAGCCCAGATAATTTACATAATGTACATATATTTTACATAAAGTTAATATATGCCATTGTAAATTTGAATTTAATAGACATTCAGATTTAAGAATCACTTCTTTCCCCCAAGTAGTCCATTAAAATTAAGTTTTTACTGTATATCTAATGCACACAAAAATAAGTGACATGAACTATTACTATAATAATTATTTATACTGCATATTATTAATATAAAGATGCAACTCAGTCTCTACATTTGTATTTGGAGGTAACTGACTTTGCAATTATTGGGGTGCTCTGATTATGTAAGGCAAAAGTGTTAAAATATTGGTGTCTTGTGTAATATAGTCACTGATCACTCATTAGGTGCCAAGCCCTAGCAAAGTAAGGGTAAGATAAAGTTGAAACCCCCTCCAGGCCAGAGACTGGTTAAAGTGGCAGTGCCAAAGGAAATAAACAGATCTTTTTCTAAGCAGAGAGTCACTGAACAATCACCATTTTCATTCATTTTTAGGTTTCTGAATGACCAATCATTTTTATGTCCCCTCTCATCTTGTTCCCATTCCTCTATTCAACTGAAAATAATACTTCATAACATTTATTCAAAATGTTGTGTAACAGCACATACATGCACACACACACAAAGTATGAATAGCTTGAGAAGAGATTGAGGTGTCATGGATGGAGTTGAGGAGATCCTCAAAAGACAGTGGTGAGAAATTGAAAGAACAAAAGGCAATGTTTGAAGCAATGTGTGGACAGGGCGGTTGGTTTGAAAGGGTAGAAAAGTACAGAGAGATGTATTGAATGGTGTTGATAAACTTTTTTTTTCTTTAACTCACTTCTTTAATTTCTTTTTGTTACTCTTTATTACCTTTTTTTTTTGGCACCTAAAAGCATGGCTAGATTGGGTATGTATGTGTCACCACCCATCTCTATAGTGGGATGGGTAGTGACAAATTTGAAATATAAATAAATAAATATAAATAAATAAACTTTTAGAGCAAAATAATCAGGTTTGGCAAAATCTAGTACAGTACCAAGATGTATCATATCAGTATAGATTTACTGAAGACTGTGTTTGGTTGTTTGCAGTAGAAGAGAAGATGTTAAGATTCTGAACTTTTCTTGCTAAAAAAGAATTACAGGTAGTCCCTAGTTTAAGAACGAGTTCTGTTCCAAGGTCTGTCCTTAAGTCAAATTTGTATGTAAGCTGGAACAGTATTATTATATAATATTGTATAAGTAGTATTGTGTAATTAACTCAAACCATTGTGTATTTAATTCACATCATTGTGTATTTAACTTGAATTTGCTGCACTAGGCTCTGTTCTTAACTATGGGTCATCTGTAAACCAGGCATTCTTACCCTGGGAACTACCTGTACTAGATTCAGCTGCTTTTCCCCATATGCATCTGATACTACATAGTCTCAGTCCTTGTTTTCTCTCTTTTTCATAAGCTACGTATTGTGCCTAATATTTTAATTGGTTTTGTTTTTGATTTCTATTCAGTTAATACTGTTTAAAAAAAAAAGACTATGTTTGATGCCTTACCACTGTATAAGTTATTTAAAATTAGGTATGTTTTCTTTTTATTGATAGGTATTACTGTATTTTTAATTATGTCAATTCTTTTGGATTGTGGGCACATTTTGAATGTTAATGTGTAAAAGTGACTGTCACAATATAGCTACCACAGAGGAGCCTGTCCTTTTCACAAAATGGCTACCAAATTAGGCATTTACCAGAAGGCAGACTGCCTTCTGTAGAGCTTTCTGTTAGTTCAGAGTTCCTTTGTTTTTTTGCTGGGCAGATAGGCACGCCTCCAGAGAAAACATCGGGCTGCAGCTATGCACCATTTTTATTTTTTAATAATGTCTTTGGGGCCTATGTGTGATCCAGAGGCATCTTTATAAATAAGTCACGTTAGCTGCTGGTGTTTTGTAGTAAATCAGTTTCCTAACTAATTTTTTTATCCAAGCATTAGAAATCAGGTGTGACAAGAGGTGCTTTAGTGCCCACAGGTGCTGTTTTGCATACACCTGAGCTAAAAGTCCAGCTCCAAGATGGCCATACCATTGATTCCATTTGCCATTATTTCATGAAGATTAATAGTTGGAGCTACGTTCCAAGTA